GGCTGAGGCAGGATTGCAAGTTCAAGTCCCACCTGGGGAACTTAGTGAGACCCTGTCTCAAAATTAAAAATTTTAAAAAGACTCAGAATGTAGCTCAGTGCAAAGGTTCCAACTCAATCCCCAGCACCCCAACCCACCAGGAAATGCACCTCACAGGCAAATTGTTTATTATCTCCAAGGATTAACTAGCCTGGGAGGGCAACGACTGCAGCATCAGCAAGGACCCAGGGTGTCAAAGCATCATAAAATACAGAAAATAAAAACAGGATTAATACATTCAGGCAATGGCTAAAAACAACAGCGCATTTGTACTTTGGAATACTAAGAGGTAGCTAAAAATAGCAAGATGGGTCTTTATGTTCCAGCACAGATGACCTCCAAGACATCGAGTAAGAAGCAAACAAACAGGTTGTGGAACAGTACTGCATGATTCCATTTACATGTGGAAGAAGAAAACTACAAGAGGAAACATACATTTCTGTGTATCCATGTATGTGTGTGCGCGTAAAGAGTGTGTGAGTGGATGGACATCGAATTCGTAGCAAGAGTTATGCTTGAAAAGGGGTGTGGGATTGGAAAAGGACTAGAAGGTGGTCTCTCACTATGTTTTTATAATAAATGCAAACTCATATACATAAATATATAACTGGGGATTAAATCCAGGACACTACCACTAAGCTACATCCCAGCCCTTTTTCCTTTTTATTTTGAGACAAGGCCTTGGTAAGTTCCCCAGGCTGGCCTCAAATCTTCAATCGTCCTGCCTCAGCCTCCCAAGTAGCTGGGATTACAGGTGTGCCCCACCTTACCCAGCTGTGTAATGTTGCAGGCTCTGAGCTATACATGTGGTTTCCAGTCCGCTAGTGCCTAGCCTGGGGTGATTTAGAGAAGGGGGAATATTAGCTTGGTGTTGAGAATTAGATAAAGGGGTGGTTGGAGGTAAGGACTTCAGTGGGTTAGTATATGGCATTTAGGGGTGCACCCCTAAATGCAGCACTTTCTTTTTTCTTATACTGGGGATCAAAGCCACACATGCTAGGCAAATGCTCTGCTGTTGAGGTACCCCCTCCACCCCTCTCAAATACCTCTCCTTCCCCAGATAATGTCAAGCCTATGTGATGAACTATGACGTGGAAGCAGAGAGCAGGGTCCCTCACTCTGATGCAGCAATCAGGGAAGTCTTCCTGAAAGAGGTGAGTCCCAGGTTATATTTTGAAGGGTAGGTGAAAATTAGCCAGGTGAAGTTGTGAAGGAGTGTTGTGGACCAAGGGAACCGCGTGTCAGAGGAGTGGGGGACAGCTGTATGTAGGAGCATGGATCTGAGGGAGAAGGAGAGGGATGAAACTGGAAAGGCAGGTGGGACTGTATCTCCAGGGGCCTCCTGAGTCCAGTCTGATTTACCCAGAGATCTCTGGAGAGGCCTGGATCGCCGGGCAGTGAGGCAGTGCAGTGGGATGCAGGCAGTGAGAACAGGCTATGACATAGCTCACCCTCCCACGCTCCAGCCCATGCATCTTTTCTGAGTGCTATGCAGCGACTCCGAACTTTGAGGTGCACCAGAATCACCTGGAGGGTTTGTTAAAAGCCCTGGAGTTTCCAGCAAGTCTGAGGTAGCTCTTGAGAATTTAAGTTTCTGACCAGTTTCTGGGCCACGCTAATGCTGTGGGTTGGGGAACCCCACTTTGAGAACCACTCCTCTCCATTTCCACCCCAGGGCCTTGGCACCTGCAATTCCCTCTCCTGGGATGGGAATGTGAATCCCCAGACCTTTGTTTCTTCCTCGGAGGAGACTTCCTTGACTGCTCACTTTTAAGTAGCCATTTGGTCACTATCTTCTTGCCCTGTTGTACTTTCTTTGGGGCACCTAGGTATCATTAGAAATTATCTGTTATCTGTTTTTGTTTTTGTTTTTGCAGTGCTGAGGGTGGAACCCAGGGCTGAATTTTTAAAAAATCAAGTCCAAGAAAGCAAGAAGCACACACCCTCCTGTAATCCTAGAACTCTGGGAGGCTGACACAGGAGGATCACAAGTTTCAGTGGAGGTTGGACAACTTAGAAAGACTCTGTTTCAAAATTTAAAAAAAAAAAAAAAAAAGGCCATTCAGTGCAAAGACCCTGGGTTCAATCCCCAGTAATGAAAAAAAAAAAGCCAGAAGCCTGATCCTGGGCCCTCAGCCTGCACATGGAAGGCAGCAATTGTACAGAATGTCTATTAAATTCAGTATGGAGGATGGGACTCTGCAGCCTGGGGAGTCTGGTGGTCCAGGGCTTTTGGAAGGTGAGGGGCAGGTGCCTGGCAGGTGCCAGAAGAGAGAAAGCTGTTTGGATGCTGAGCTGAGGTATTGACACAGGTTAGAAAAACTCATCCTTCAGGGTGGGGGGCACAGGGTGGGGTGAGAAATAGTATAAAATAGGAGACCTTTTCAAGCAGATGCAGAGGAGGCAAGGGCATGCTGACATCACAGCTAGGAGGCCCCAGCTCCTGTGGCCTAGGGGCCAGGGCCACCAGTTCGAGCCCCAGCCTGAGTCACCCCTACCTGTACAGCGGGTATCTGGGCCAGGCCCAGGGAGGGACACAGAGCCGAGGGGCACAGGTGGCAGCTGCTACCCAGCCTGAGCCTCCTCAGCCATTCACCACCCTCTGCACTGGGAGGCCTGGGTCCTCAGTTTCCCCCTCTGGGAAGTGGAGGGAGGGGAGGAAGCGTTTGGACGCTGAGGTCTCTCAGAATCAAGCCCAGTTTCTCTGCTCATCCTGGTGATCTCACCCCAGCTAGTCACCATCACTTCTCTCTCACATCTGCCTTGGGTTCTGGGGCCTTGCAACCTCTGCCCTCTGTGGTATGTCAGCGCCTTCTCTCCTGTATCCTCCGAGCTTGGGGGTGTTGGGTGCAGGAGAGGAGGGAGCTTGGCTTTTGGAGTCTGGCCCAGCTGGTTCCGACCAGGCCCTGTTCCGATACTCTTGGTGGACCTCCATCCTCTGACTTCAGTTTCCCTTTCTAGATAGTGGGTCTGTCTACCTTTGAGCTTGTGGTTAAGAGAAAAAATGATCCTACTGTGAAAGTTGGTTTCGTTTGCTCCCCCACTTCCCCTGGCCCTAGTTCAGCCACTGCTGCCCTGCAACTTTTCAGAATTTCTTCAAATGATGAATTTCAGTAACACCGAGGGCCCCGGGGCCAGGCCACCACGAATCCTCCACCCTAGCCTGGCTGAAACAGAGACGGTGCACACACTGCTGCTGTCCCTCTCCCCAGAGCTGGCAGGAGACAGGAAGGATTGCTGAGCACCAACTGTCCAGGCGCCCTGCCAGGCCCTCTCTGTGCATCAGCCTCCCTCGTCCTCTTCCCCCTGAGGTGCCATCATCCCCACCAGGAAAGGAAGGCCTGGGAGTGTCCTGACTTGTCCCAGCAGAGATTAGTGAGTGATGGGGCTGGAGAAGTGAAGACACTTTACCTTGAGGGCAATGGGGAGCCATGGCAGGTTTTAAACAGAGAGCTATCTTTTATTATTCATTAAGTTTATTGGTATCATGTTTAGGTATACCATAAGATGACATTCATCATTGGAAATTTGTTCCTTTACATGATATATCTTGGTTCTTTTATTTTTTGGTACCGGGGATTGAACTCAGGATCTTGCACTTACAAGGCAGGTGCCAGAACCAACCACTGAGCTAGATCCCGAGCCCTCTTTTGTTTTTGACAGGGAGCTATCTTGACCAGACTTGGGCTGTAGGCTGGACAAAGTTGAAATAGGCAGGGAGGAAAAGAGAAGGACAATGGTTTGATTTCCTCTTCCCAGGATCCCAGGGAGGGGACCTTACCTTGACAGAGAGGGAAAGTGATGTGGGTGGGAAAGCTGGCACCTGGGACCTGGAATGAGTCTTTTGAACTGGGATTGGTTGGGGAACTTGGGGCAGGCCCAGGTTGCCTAATATAGGGGCTGTGTGGTCTTGGACAAGTGACTTGGCTTCTCTGAAATTCTAGTTCCTCATCTGTTAATTGGGCTTAATCACAGTCTGACTTCCTGGGGAGGCCAGAGCTGAGTGCAGTAAGACATGCAAAGTGGGTACCGGGCTCCACCATGGAGCAGTGTAGGAGGGGACGCCATCCTGACTGGTGCTGTGACCCTCCTGCTCCTGGGACGCCTTCCAGCAGGCGGGGTTTCCATGCCAGGACATTCCCACGCCCCTTGAGATTTCAGGTGGGCTTCCTGCGATGACACCACCTCTTGTTCCTGGCAGGGGAGGGGCAGCAGCCAAGAGTGCAGGTGCTGCCTATGTCCCTCCCTGTCTATTTCCAGCTTGGCTGCCTGAGGCCACCGCCAGGTGTGAGCAGTGAGTCAGAGCCAGGGGGAGCGGACATGGCAGTCCGGGGGCTCATGCTGAGTTGTCACAAACTCCCTCCCTCAGCCTTTTCCAGGAGTGCTGTGTTGCAGGGAGGGCCTGTCCAGCGCCAACCCCTACCCCAGTCAGTGTCACCAAGAGGACATGGGGACAGAACCCCCAGATGCCTCAAATCCACTTCTTTGCTGACTAGAGATGGGAGCAGAGGCCACATCCTGTTTCCTTCCACCCCCAGTGTGCCTAGGACAGGGCTCGGCACATAGTAGGGATGCAGTAATGTCCACCAACCGAGTGAACTGTGTTAGTACAGGACTTCAGAGAAATGGGGCTTGTCATGCGGCTCTGGAGACAGATGGGGTGTAGGTGACTTGGGCAGGGAAACTGCCTCTTAGCCTCCATTTGCTCATCGGTGAAATGGACATAACAGTGTGGGCCTTCTTGGAGATCATTGTGAGGTATAAGGGAGACAACCTCAGCAACCTCTGGGCCTCAGACTGGATGGAAAGGACACTGATTACATTTCATAACAAGTGTTTATTACTGTGTCTGCTTCTGTCCAGATAGTGAGGCCCCTGTGAGTGGATGTTTCTGAGACAGGAGGCATGAATTTGAATCCTGGACTGGCTTTGGGACCTAGGACAAATCACTAGTCCTCTCTGAGGACTCTTCAATTTCTTTATTTGTGAAACAGGACTACTGAGGCCACGGTGAGGATTTAGTGAGGCGTGTATGGCAGTGTCTGCCGCATGGAAGAAGCTGTAACATCGAGGAAGAAGAACAGGCTTGTTACTGATCGAAAGGCTCAGCCACATATCCAGGTAGATCTGACAGCTGAGGGTGCGAGACACACACTGTACTCTGGAATGGACTTTGAAGCCACCTGGTCCAGTGTCCTTGGACAGGTCCTTTCAGCTTTCTGGGCTCAGTGTCCCATCTGTAAAATGAAGGACTTCGACCCACAGCCCAGTGATCATGGCTGTGGGAGGTGCCACAGTCCGAGGCCAGTGAGCTGACAAAGCAGTAGAAGAGTGCAGACGACCCTGGCTGGAAGTTGTCACATGCACCCTGGCCCTGGCCCTGCAAACTGCAGGGACGAACCAGAGGCCTCACCAGGCAGTGAGGACGAGCCCAAGGCAGAGGTCAGTGCTCCCTCCCCTGCTGTCCCCCAAGAGGCTGCCCAAAAAAGCCCTGTGCCCCCTTGTCATCCTGATCTGTCCTCACCATGCACAGTGACACAGTCATCTTTTACATGGGGCTACTTTCATTCGTGCAGAAACAGCTCAGCGAGGTGAAGGTACTCTCCTGAGGGCGCTCAGCAGCAAAGGAGAGGAGCCAAAACTTGATCTTGGTTCTCCTTCTCCCAGGCTTTTCCTGATCTACCTGGGGCCTCCCACAAGGAATTTTCTCCACCTGGACATCACTGCCCCTGCTCTGGGCCCTCTACTCAACTAATGTCCTCAAGTCACCCCAACTTCTCCCAGGCCATCCTGCACCCTGGCTCTGACTGAGTTTTCTGAAAGGGTGCTGATCACCTGGCTAATGCATGCATCCATCCATCCACTTATCTAACCACTCATCCATGCATTCAACCATCCATCCATCCATCCATGTACTCATCCATCCATTCACTCATCCAAGTACTCATCCAGCCAGCCAGCCACTCATTCATTCATTTTTTTTCCACAAATATTTATTGAGCAGCCTCTATGGTGCCCAGCTTTGTTTGAAGCCACCAGGGATAGAGACAGGTGAATGAAACACAATCCCTGTCCTCATGAGGTTCACACTGTATTAGAGGAGGAAATAGGCCATAAACTACAAGTGGCTCTAAAGAAAGATAAAGCAAGGTCTGCAGATGGGGTGAAGGGTGTGGTTTGAGATGGGAAGGTCAGGTCACCTGATTATACTGCAGGTGCTGGGTGCTAATTCGGAGCATGTGCCAAGTATGCTGGAGATATGGTGGACAGGGCAGCTCTTTCCTCCTGAGAGGCTGCAAGGCAGGGCTGAGAGGGTCATCAGGGAAGGTGTCACAGACTCTTGTCATCTGAGCTGAACTATGGAGAGTGTAGCGGGCCAAGAACTGGGGAGGAGGACAGAACGTGCAAAGACAGGAGGGGACAGGAGCATGGTGGTATGAGTGGAGACAGAGCCAAAACTGGAACCAGATGGTAAATGGTATTTAAATGTCAAACACACAAGTGTGAACTTGATCCTGAGGGTGATAGGGAGCCCTTGAGGGTTGAGGAGGGGAGGAACACCTGCAGATGGATTTTAGAGCTCTTACTAGCATGATGGTGCAAGGGACTGGAGGGCCCAGGTTGGAGAGGCCAGGTGTGGAGAGGTCCAGTTCAGGCTGGCCCTGGGGGATTGGAGCTTGGAAAATTCCAACCCTTCACGGAGTCATGGCCTACAAACACTGAGAACTGGATTCTACTGGAGGCAGTAGGGAAGGAGGGAGAGCTCACAGAGTGGAGCCGGAGAGAACAGGGCAGGTGCAAGTTTGGGGCTGAGCAGAGTGGGAGAGGGGCTGATGAATCAGCCTTGGAAAAGTCAGAGTGAGCGATGCACCGGTAGCACCCAGTGGTGACCAGGCGGGCACAGCCTGTCCTAGAGAGAAGCTGAGCTTCAGCTTTCCATTGCCTCAGCACTGCCAGGTGCCAGGAGCTTTGCAGCTTACTGTGTCACATTCTCCCAGCGGCATCTGAGCATGGCTCTTATTGCCCCATCGCACAGGTGAGGGTACTAAGGCTCAGGGACATGAAGTCACTTGTCCAAGGCCATGTGCTGCTCTAGAGCTGGAGTTCAGGTCTGTGTGGCTCCACAGTGCTCATGGCCTCTCCCATGGTGCAGGTGTAGACAGAAGGTGCCAGGGAATGGCTGCTATGGATCTCTTGGCTGACCTCTGTGGCCTTGAGGGGGCTGTGACCTGGGGACGCTCCACAAGCACTGAGGAGTTTTAGGGACAGGTTTGAGTGTGTCCTTTCCAAACTCCATGTGGAAACTTAATCCTCGATGCAACACTATTAATGGCAGGCCCTTTAGGATTAGTGATTAGGCCATAAGGGCTCCCGTCTCTTGGATGGCATTAGTGGCTCCTACAGAAAGGCTATCAAGAACTGGCTGAGCCCTTTGCCACTCCACCTCTTCCGCCACTGAGGACACAACATCCATCTCCTCTGGAGGGCACAGCAATGAGGTGAGACCAGGACCTCACCAGACCTGGGCTCAGCCAGGGCTTGATCTTGGGCTCCCCAGCCTCCAGAACTGCGAGAAAATACATTTTTCTGATGTTTATAAATTATCCAATCCCTGGGTGTGTTTTGTTTTGTTTTTAGACAGGCTCTTGTGAAGTTGTTAAATTGCCCAGGCTGGGCTTGAACTTGTGATCCTCCTGCCTCAGCCTCTCAGAATGCTATGATTACAGGCAGGCACCACCACACTGGGTTCAGTCTTTGGTACTTTGTGGGTTTTTTTTGGTACCGGGGATCGAACACGAGACCTTGCGCTTTTGAGGCAGGCGCCGGAACCACTGAGCTAAATCCCCAGCCCTTTTGGTACTTTGTTAAAGCCGCATGAACTAAGACAGAGCCTCCTTCCCATGGTCACCCTGGTGCCCAGTGCAGCACACTGTAGCAGGTACTTATGTGATTCTTCTGAGTGAGGAACAGCCTTGGCCTTTATGACTGAGTCCCACACCATTGAGACGGCACAAGCTGCTCGGCTGGAAGGCGAGACATTTCTGGGAACCAATCCAACCAGGCTGTGATGAGAGTTCAGAAGCAGGGTCACAGGACTTGGCTAAACTGGTTTCTCGGTCACAGATAACATTTTCCTCCATCAAGGATGCCTCTGTCCGGCCTTTCAGAAATGAACCTCTTCCTCTCTCCCTGAGAGCTCATCTTCCCTGCTCACATCCCTTGCAGGTCACCCAAGTAGCTCCGTGTCAGGCAAGCTGGGCCTTTTACTTAATTCCTTGGAGTACCTGGGCCCTGGTTATTTCTGCATCTCCACTTCTCAGCATAGTGCCAGACACATGGCAGGTGCTCAATAAGGATGGTTCATGGGAATATATGAACAATGAAAGAAAGAAAGAAAGAAAGAAAGAATGAATGAATGAATGAATGAATGAATGGGTCAGGACTCAAGGAACCAGCAACTCTGCCGAGCTCTCTGTTAGTAAATCTCTGGATTTATACGACTCACTTTGACATTTCTGGGCCTTGATTTTCCTATCTTTTGTTTGATTTGCAATACTGGGGATTGAACTCAGGGGCTTCACATTGAACTACATCCCTTGCTTCCCAGCCCTTTCTATAAAAATTTTGAGACAGGATCTAAGTTACTGTATTGCTCAGGCTGAGTTCCAACTTGCAGTTCTCCTGCTTCAGCCTCCTGGAGTACTGGGATTACAGGCCTGGAATTTGTGATCTTCCTGCCTCAGACTCCTGAGTGCTGGGATTACAGGCATGCACCACTACACCTGGCTCTACCTTTGAAATGAACAGTTTTGATGGAACAGCTCAGTCCACCCCAGTGTCCACTGTGGCAAGGTGGACAGACAGTGGCCATTCGCATGCATGGCCTCCCCCTATGTACATGCTTAGGGGAAACTCAGTAATTGTCACGGGGGAAGCAAAGCCCTGAGATGACTTGTAGCCACCATTGTTGTTGACTGAGAAATAGCCGCTCACCATTGTGTGGGTTGGAGATTTCCAATCTTCTGCTCATGCTGAGTGAAGCTTCCTTTTGCTCTCTTGGAAGTTACTGCAGAGCACAGGGCACGATGGCATCACAGGGATTCCCTTGTCCATCTCTTTAGCTATGTATGCAGCATTGCCCTAGTACCTGGCGCTGGAGCACGACAGTGAGTTTACAGACTGGTGGGAGACATGGGAAGTGAATACATAAGGGCAGATATTAATCAGGAGGATTCTGATGAGAAGTGCTGTGAAGGAAGTCAAGAGTGCTGGGCTAGAGGGGCACAAGAATGGAGATCACCTTTAGCTTGGGGGGGGGGTCACAGCAGCACGCAAAGGTTGATTAAAGGGCTTTATTTGAGCTGCAGCTGGAGGGTGAGAAGAGCTGAGCTTGCAGAGAGCAGAGGGAAGAGCAAGGCAGGCAGAAGGAACAGCATGTGCAAATGCTCAGAGCAGGGAAAGGAATCTTCAGGAACACTTTTTATTTTTTCAGCGAGAAATCCATATTAAACTGTAGTTCCTTAGTTATTAGTAGTACCTGATTAATTTTCTGTATTCAATAAATCAAGCCCCTGTGGTGTAGCCAGGCCTGGCTGCTGGACCCTGGGGACAAACAGTGATGAATGAAGGCAACATTCTTGTCGCATAGGTCCAGGAGCTGGCACCCCATGGAGAAGAGCAGGTCTGATGTTTGCAAAGGGCTCCCCAGCTCTTATCCCTGGGGAATCCAAACAAACCCCGCAGCTTCCGGCATCCCAGGCCTCCCTCCAGCGGCTGCTCCTCAGCCTCCCATGCAGGAGGCTTTGGCTTCCTGCCTCCCCTCCCCCACCCACCTGGGCACAGAGGGTCTTTCATCCATTGTGACTGCTTCCTGCCCATCGGCCCCAGCTGCAGGTCCGAACCCTGCAGATTCACAATGACAGCCGGATGCTTTCTCCAGGACCCTCAAGGGGGTCAGAGAGGGGAGTGGCCTGGGGTGGGGTGGGGGCAGTGTTAGACCCCGAGGACTGACGGGAAGCAGGCCCTGTCTTCAACCTCCCCTCTTGGGGGAGGGGTGATTAATGACCACGGACACAGCAGGGCCTCCCATCCCTCGGAATTGGGCGTGGGTTCCTCAACATCTTCCCTGGCTTCATTCATAATGCATGGGATGAACCCTGGGCTTATACTTGGTACCACCTCCATCAACTCCTAGCTAGGTGACTTAGGCAAGTTTCTTACCCTCTCTGGGCCTCAGTCTGCTACCAGCCCAATACTGAGGATTGAATCTAGGGCCCTGTGCATGCTAAGCCAATGCTTTACTACTGCTCTACATCTCCAGCCCTTTTAAATTTTTTTATCTTCTTTTATTTATTAGTTTTGGTACCAGGGATTGAACTCAGGACCTTGCACTTTCCGGGCAGGCATGGCACCACTAAAAATTTTATTTTGAGACAGGGTCTCAGTAAGTTGCCCAGGCTGGCCTCCAACTTTCAACCTTGCTGCCCAAGGACCCCTATCCCAGTAACTGGGATTTCATATATGTGCCACCACACACCCAGCTCTCAAGCCTTGTTTTTAAGGAAACAGATAAGCAAGCAGACATGTATCACACAACTGCTTGCAGCATTCAGGCATACCAGGAATATGGCTCTAGCTCATATCTTGGCTCTGTCACTGGCTGTGTGGCCATGGGCAAGTCACATAACCCCTCTGTGCCTGTTTCCTATATTTGTAAAATGGGGCAACAGCTACCTTGTAAGATGGTTGTGAGGGTTAAATGATTATGTGTCATATAATAAGTGCTCAGTAAACAAACTTCTCCTTACTATAGATGCTGATGAAGTGCCATGGAATGTGGAGGGGGTGGCCTGTGCCAGTACCAATGTGGCCATGTTTGGAGTGGAGAAAGACTCTACCAGGCGCTGGATCTTAAGGGGTGAGTGTGAATGAACCAGCAGTAGGAAGGGCAGAGGGCACAGCTCCAGGCACCAGGTAGGGAGAGAAGGGTGGAAGAAAAGAACCATTTGAGAAACACTGAGAAAATCAAAGCTGAAGGACTCTACTGATTGGATGTGGGAATGACAAAGAATTGCTTAAGTATTTATTAAGCCCCCACTATGGTGGAATGCTGACTTTTTAAAAATCACCATGTCTGTGATCTAGTTCACACAGCTGAAGAGCTAGCATTATCCATCTACCAACTCTTTGTTGAGCACCTACTATATACAGGGTGTGATCCTAGATGCTGGGGCTAGAAAACAAAGCAGTGCTGGCCCGTCTCCTGGAGCTCAGCACCTGGACTGGGTTAACGGCAGGAGAGCCGATGTCTGCTTTACCCAGATGGCCCTGGACTGCACAGGCTTGAAGCTGCTTTGGGGCAGATTCTTGGCATCAGCAGGCTGGTACCTAACGCACACCAAACCAGAGTCCCACACTCGCCCCTCCTGGGTTTTCCTGCAGGGGCCCCTTCAGGCATGGCATGGCCTCCAGGAAGTGCTCAGGCCAGGATCCTGGGGGGTCCTGCCCCACCCCAATCCACCTCTTCTGTAGCTCCTGTGAATTTTGGATATCTGACAGTATCTGGTTCTGTCTGCGATGCCCATCTTGGTGCTGCCTCCATCTCTGCTGCCTAGATGCCGATCTGCAACCTGACTGGTCTTCCTGTTGTGAAACCCCCTAGTCCTGAGCCCGCACAGCAGGCAAGAAGAAGCATCCTCAGAGGCTGCCACACCCCACACTGCACTGCACAAAGTCCTGCTCCAGGGGCTTCCCTTGATATTGGAGCCACGTCTCCGAGCTGCCCTGGTCTGACTCTACCTGCTTCTCACCTCCTCCTGCAAATCCACACCTTCCCCAGCCCTGGCCTCTGGGGCCCGGAACTGCCCAGCTCCTGTCTGGAGACACCCTGCCCTTCCCTCGGTTGTCTGCAGGGCTGGTTCCTCCTCACCCTGGCTATGTGGGTCTCCCGGAGGGTCTTGCCCTCTGCCCTGTCAGAGCACTGGCCCCATTTGGCAGTCATCTTGTCCTTGCACTTGCTGCCTGTCTGCCCGTTCTCCAGCTGTTCCTACAGCCCAGCCCAACACCCACCCTTGGCCAACATCTGTCCCTGCAGTGGGAACCAGCACCCTCTCCTCTCCCCCGTTCCATGGGTAACCTGTGCATTGTCTTGTCATTTATCAAACCTCTAATAAGCAGGGGTATTTTTAGAACAGGTGAAAGCAACACTCTAACCTCTCAGAGGATTTTCCACTCCCACCTGCCTTTCTACTACAATTTGGTTTCCTGTGGTGGTTGCCCAGGCTGCCACACTAGTCAGCTTTGTTATTCTGGGGCACAGAGAGGGACCTCAAAAGAAAACCAAGCTCCCCTTCTTCCTCCCTGGCTGGAGAGAGAAACAAGGTACTTAGTTCCAGCCCCTGGCAGACAGAGGGAAGTCTGGGATGAAGCCTTAGGCTCTTCACTTGCTATGTTACTCTAGGCTGGTCACTTTCCATCTCTGAGCTTCAGTCACCCATCTGTTAGAGGAGGGGCTTGGAAGGTAAATGATTAAAGGCCTCTGACAGCCAAGATTTGCATGGACCCATGAGCTAATGGATCTTTTACATCCCTGGGCATCAATCGAATGAGTCTCACTTCTTTCTATGAATGAAATGTAGTTGGTGCCTCATCTGGTGCACATGCAAATAAATGCAAATTAATGTAAAATAAAGGACTCCAGAAATGCTCTTTCACAGGACCAAGGTCTGACCAGACCTGGGGTAGAGGGAGAAACTTAGCTCCTACCTTCAAACTTGCTTGGATATCTCTTCCTACACCCCACTCTACAGAGGGGAAATGAGGCCCAGAGAGGGAAAGTGACTCGCCCAAGGTTACACAGGCAAGATAACGACAAGTGACAGCAATGGCTGTGACTTTTTTCACTTCTTAGCACTTTTCTCTCCTGATCTTCCAACTATTTGGCCCCAGGCCTGGGGCTAGAACCTAGCTCCAAGGGAGCACACGCTCTCATGAACAGAGTACCTAGGAATAAGCATTGTAAAGAAGTTCAAGGAATCGGGTGTGGTGGTCCATGCCTGTAATTCCCAAACTTGGGAGGCTGAAGCAGGAGGATTCCAAGTTTGAGGCCAGCCTGGACTACATAGTGAGATCCTATCTCAAAAAAAAAAAAAAAAAGATCAGCCACAATGCACTATGTTGGAAATGCTCTGTGTTGGGAGCAGGGAGAGGTCCTTGGTTACATGACCAAGGTGAAGGTGTCCTTTTCAGTTAGACGTTGAAGAATGGAGAGGCGAAGAGAATGTCCCGTGTGTGTGTGTGTGTGTGTGTTGGGGGGAGCATACATACAGACATGGGTACAGAAAAGAGAAAGGTACAGTCATGGTCAAGGTCACTTATAATGACAACTTCAAGCCAGCCTCTCACCGAGTTCCCTTCCAACCAGAATGCACTGCCAGTCTCTTTAAAATGGAAATTCTGGAACTTCTACTGCTTGTAGGATAGAGTGCATAAATACTGAAATATGGAAAAACGAACCTAGGGGACAATGTGTGCAAAGCCCAAAGTGGCAAGTGTAGGAATATGGACTTTATTCTAGGAGGAACAGGGAGCCATGGAAAGTTCTATGGCAGTCAAAGAAGCAATCAGATTCACATTTAGGATAAGCTTCTTGTCCACTGGTGGCCGTAGTCCCACGGTAAAGGCAAAGCACTAGGTTTAGGTGGTAAGGATGGGGAATGGTCATTTGTCTGAATGGAGCAACGAGAGCCCATTTGGCAGGGGGACACGGGAGAGCACTGAGAACCGTGGCTTTTGCTTAATCCAGAGAGGAAGGAAGGAGGCCTCTTGATTCTACCCTTCCCGGGACTGGCAAGAAGCTGGTGCCCATGCAGAAGGGAAGGTGAAGGTCAGCGGAGCAGCTGCCTCCCGAGAATTCAGGGCAGAGGGCAGCTTCACTTTGTTCCCTGGGGACTTTTGTCCTATTCTTCTGACTCGATTAAAGAAAGCTCTGAGGGCCCTAGGGGACCACAAGTCAAGTATTTCTCAAACATTTACTTAGTACCGCCAGGGCCAAAGTATTAGCGTGGGGAACAGATATAACAAAGCTGTGGGTTTTTTTCTTTCTTTTGGAGCTGGGGATTGAATTTGCCTTGTGCACCCAGCCTCAGGAACCTATTTTTTGATTCTCAAATTGGGACACAGGAGCTGCATTGTTTTTTTTTTTTTCCAGATTCAAGGTTGATTTGCATGAAAACCCTTTAATGACATCTGGTATGGGTTGGGTTGTATCCCCTAAAAGACATGTTGAAGTCCTAACCCCTCATCCCTCAACTGGGACCTTATTTGGAAATATGGTTGCTGCAGATCTTATTAGTTGGGGTCAGCCTGGGATGGGGTGGCCCCTTGGTCCGACATGGGGGTGTTGTTTATGGAGAGGGCCGGCACAGGCAGAAGGCTGCATCCCCATCCCCTTTTATGTTTTTACTTTGAGACAGAGTCTTTCTAAGTCACTAAGTTCTCCAGGCTGGACTTGAACTTGCAGTCCCCCTGCCTCGGCCTCCCACAGTGCTGGCTGTTTTAAGGCACTCTGCCTGTGGTGCTTTGTCACAGCAGCCTTAGGAAGATAACAGAACATCAAAACTAAATTGCATTGAATTTTTGTCCCAATAGTCCATTTCTTTTTTTCTTTTCTTTTTTTTTTTTTGGTACCAGGGATTTAACTCAGGACCTTGCACTTGCGAGGCAGGCGGTGGAACCACTGAGCTAAATCCCCGGCCCCCCATTCGTCCATTTCTAAAGGAGGCTATCTTTCCAGATCACACACGCAGTAGCCCCCAGGGTTCAGGGTGATGTTTTGAGGGACCTTCTGTACTGTCCCCTCCCTCAGCACCAACAAACCAGCTCTGGGCCTGGTGGTCAGCCCTCAAAAGCAGCTACCATTCCCTCGCCTGGCTCAGCATGCTGCTTGCATCCTTCTTGACTGCTGTCCCAGTCCCCTCTATGTGGTGTCACCCCCATGCTACTGTACCTGTCTTTTCCAGCTTGTGCACTTCTCGGGGGGAAAGGGCTGTCCTGTGCCCTCACCTCCAAGCATACAGCAAGTGCTCAGTAAATGCCTGTGGCTCAAACAGTTGAGTAAGAGTTGGCTGTGGCCTCAGAGGCTCGGGGACACTTTCCCAGGACAGTCTGCCCATCCTTCTGGAAGTGAAAGTGTACAGTCAGTTCTGAGAGTGAGAGAAGGAAAGTGAGAACCAGAGAGGAGGAGGCAGCAGGCAGGGGCAGAGCCCCAGACCCTGCTCCGGCAGCCAGACCTTGCCCCCGGCTCCTGCGCACCCTGCCCTCCTGTGGTGCCCCCACGTGTTGTCACCCACGCACACCTACCCTGTCCCCCAGCAGGCAGCAGCTTCCTCTGACACACATTTTCCATCACTGGGCGGGGCAGAGCAGGTGGCAGGTGAAAACAATCTCTAAGGTTCCCTTCCCTGAACCCCCAAGTCAGCCCCCGACCTGGGTTTGGCTCCTGTCCCTGCTGACTGCACCTCTCTGCACCCCTGACTCCAATGACACAGGGTCAGTTGAAGGGTCAGAACACCGGAGGCGACATGGTGTCACTGAGCATGGAGCAGGTACAGGGGAGAGAGTCAGGATGGGGCTCTGTGGGGTCACCCTGGGCACTGTTCTAAGCACTCCAGAGACCTGGGGAAACCTTGCTGGTGTCCTCACACCCTTTCTGCTGCAGGCTCTCTGGTGTCCACAGCCAACCTGAGTCACTGCCAGGCTCATCAGCCAGCATTCCTTCTTCTGGCTCCACAAGCCCCTGTTCTCTTTCAGGGCCAGCTGTGGTGTTCGTTGCCCAGGAAGCCTTCTTTAAGTCCCTGGGGTGGAATCAGCCAGTTCCTCCTAGGGGTCCTGCTGCCCTTCCTGGAAGCTGCCACCTCACCCTCCCTTTCTCAGACTAAGGGGTCTGTCCACCTCTCTGGGGTCTTACTTATGGCCTAAAATCCAGAATTCCACACAGCAGAGTGGACGGTGCTAGATGGGTGGGTGACAGGAGGGGGGAAAATGAATGGACGGAAGAATTGGAGGTGGAGGGGCATGCAAGGCTATGGATGGATGATTTTATGGGGCCAGATAGATAATTGACAAATTGTGAAGAGACCAGTGAGTAATCAGTGGCCAATCATTGGTTTTAGCATGCCCTGGACTTGCCAGGGAATTCCCTGCTTCCACAATTCCACGGTCTGGTTTCCCCTCCATAATATGGATACAGGCCTGAGAATCCTCCTGACTCTCTCCACATGAGGGCCTGGGGCGATTCACTCCTAAGAATGCCTTACACTTACTGTCCCATCTTAATTTCCCAAGGAAACTTGGTGCCTAACTCACTGTGAGCTCTCCGCACACAATAGGCTCAGGAGCACATGCCTCTGGATGTTGGGGCTTGGAGAGAATCGCTGTGACACTGCTGGCCACTTTCATGAGCCTGGTCTAGCTGCCTCTGTCACCTCCCACCCACAGACAACCCTCTCTTCTTGGGAGACCATTGTGCCACTGGCCAGCAATGTCCTCTTCTTTTCTGCCCCCTGTTTCTGGCCATCTCAGGGACTCCAGGAGGAAAACTGGGGATCATTGTATCCCCACCGTGTGTCCTGTAGGGTCAGCAGACAGCAAAAACATTGCAGAAGGAGGTCACAGGAGCTTGGTTCCAGTTTGGACTTTTAAGCCTGCTCTGGGGAGCAGGCCCAGCCTAGAGGACATGGCAGCAGGGAGAGACAGGCTTTGGAGTGACTAGGATCCAAGTTCCAATCCAGGGAGTTCCAGTGACCTCAGGAAAAGTGACTCACTCCTGTAGTCTCCACCTCTTCCTCTGTAAAATGGAAGAAAAGACCTATCCACTTCCCAGCGCTGTTACGAGGTCCCAATAAAATGCTAAAGTGCTGCCCTACTGCTCACCATCACCACTTGGGGCTGTTGGGTACTGGAAATGTGACCAGTCAGGACTGAGATGTGCGGTGAGATTGTAAGTGATAATATTACCTATTGATAATATTTTGAAACATTGAGTTAAATGAAATGTCATTAAAACGGGGTGGGGGGTGGGCGGTGCTACTGGGAAGTTTTCTGGCCACTACAAGACGGGGAGAAGACACCAACCTTGGGAGAGAGCAAGGTTGGTGTCTTCTCCCCCTCTTGTAGTTGACTGTTTAGGTGTCTGTCTGCCTGGCTAGCCCAGGAGCTCCTCGTGGACAGGGACTGTCCCTTGGTCATCTGTATTCTACTCCCTGCACAGAGCCTGGCACATGGCAGATACCCAGCAGAGGATGTCACAGTGGATAAATAATGCATATGAAAGCAGTATTTGCTTTTTCTTTTTTTTTTTTTTGGTACCGAGGATTGAACTCAGGACCTTGCACTTGTGAGGCAGGCGCCAGAAACACTGAGCTAAATCGCCAGCCCTGAAAGCAGTATTTGGATTTTTAGTATTGGACCACCCTGGAGTCCTAGGGGAATACAGCAGGATACATGTCTCACTAAAGCCACATAGGGCACAGGCTCAGGCAGGAAACAGCTAGCTAGTCTGAAAAGTTTAGTTGAGGAACAATGAATATGATCATAGGTTTGTGGGCAGGTTCTGGGAAACCAGAAGGGATGGCGCTGTACACAGGGCTGAAAAGAAGAAGGAGGTCACCTGGACCCAGGCTAGAGATGTATGCACAGGGTCATGGGGAGCACAGCCAGGCTG